GCGGGAGTTGAAGTTTAGCCGCTTATCCACACTCTTCATACAGCTAAGTTCACCAATAAAATTATCCCTCCAACCTGCTGCACGGAGCCCCAGAAGCTAAGATAAATGCTGAGCTATAGAATTCCTGGTTAATGTCCATTAGGTAATAATAGTATTTCCCGTTAAGAAAAAAATTCAACTTTGTCATAGTTAATAGACTTCCATTTATTGAAAACATGAGCATCTGATACCCTACTACCCATCCTCTCTCCTGAAAGTCATTGAACTTGCGGCTTTCTGGTATCAATGTCTTCACTTTAGTGTGAAGAACTAAGAAAAGCATCCTAGATACTATGTCAGAAAACGTGGGTTCCACTCACTTTCTAATTAAGCACTTGGTGGTTCTATAACCTTGCCTGATCCTTTTCAACCATGTTATTCATCTGAACCACATATGACAAAATAAATTATCTGAGTAGTGTGTTTTTCATTTTCCCAAGGATAGTGTACAATAATTCTATTCTAGATGCATAAGAGAAAATTTATTCATAGCAGGACAATTGATGGCTTAGGTTGACAGAGCCTGTGTTGTAATATATCATTTTACATCTTTGGTCTTTAGTTCTTCATCTGTAAAAATGAACAGATTGTGCTAAACAGTTGTGAACATCCGTAGCACCCTCTGACTTTCTTTTCCTTTCTTTCTTTTTTTTTTTGAGGACAGAGCCTCATTCTGTCCGCTAGATAGAGTGCAATGGCGCGATCTCGGCTCACTGCAACTTCGCCTCCCAGGTTCAAGGGATTCCTCCTGCCCCAGCCTCCAAGTAGCTGGGATTACAGGCATGTGCCACCATGCCTAGCTAATATTTGTAATTTTTAGAGACAGGTTTTCACCATGTTGGCCAGGCTGGTCTCAAATCCTGACCTCAAGTGACTGCCTGCCTTGCCCTCCAAAGTGCTGGGATTGCAGATGTGAGCCGCTGCGCTGGGCCATGATTTTTATATCTGCAGCTCTACTCCTCGTCCTCTGTGTTAATTCAGTAGTAACTTATCACTAGGGACTGTGTAATCACAGTTATCAATGTTTTAATCAGTTAAAGTTAGAATTGAAAACCTAATGGTAAGTTACTATTATTTTTTAGTTTCTGTACAGTTTGGTGTTATTGGGAAAATTAGACCAAATTCAGCAAACACTAAGCACTTACTTTGCACTATGCAAAATTTATGATTAACCAGTATAAATTCTTAATAACTTTCGTAAAATATGGAAGAACCATAGAAAGTCAAAACACACTAGTTTGGTTGTCCAATGAACAACACTGGTTGAATAAGGCACAATGAAGAAATTTTACAGTGAGTAATGAAGTTGGACTAAAGAAAACCGATGCAATATTCCAACCAACTTTAAGAAAAATTTGGCAAAAATTTTAGTTTGGATCATTACCTGAAAATGCCCGCAAGGGATGTGGGAGAAATGGGAGTTCTAATTTTTATCTGTTAGCAATATATGTAAATTGATTGAAAAAAATTTTAGAAAATAATTTGGCGTGCCAGGCAATTGGTGGGTATCATTGTCTGTTAATCCGCAAGCACTTGGGAGGCGCCAAGGCCGCGGCAAGATTCACGAAGGTCAAGGAGAAACAGAGACCAGAAGCCCCTGGCGCAACAATGGTGAAACCCCTATCCTCTACTAAAAAATACAGAAGAATAACGCTGGTGTTGGTGGCACGGCTTGCCTGGTAATCCCAGCACTTCAAGGAGGCCCTGAAGGCAACAAGAAATCGCTTGAAACCACAGGGGGGCCGGAAGCTTCGCAGTGAAGCTGAAGATCGGCGCCACGCAGCCCCCAAGCCTGGTGAGCATCAGCAAGACTTGTCCTGCAAAAAAAAAAAAAAGAAAAAAAGAAAGTAAATTTTGCCAATCCCCAAACCCAACTTTCACTCTAGGTATAACTTTGGCTTCTAAAAAATATTTAGCACCTAATATGCCTAAGGGCTGTAACGTAGGTTCTTGAAGTAGTGGGCCCCCCCGCAAAAGTCCACATCATCCTAAATCGCAGAAACTACCTTATTTGGAAGTTAAGGATCCTTGCCAAATGTTAAAACTGGTTAAGATGAGGTTCAGTACTGGATTTAGGGTAGGCCCCTAAATCCAGTGAACCTGTAATCCTATAAGTGAAGGCAAGGAAGACACGAGGCCAGAATATTGGAGTGAAAACAGCCCTGCTAAGGAACAACCAAGGAACTTGCCAGGAGCCACCAGAAAAAGCTTGGAAAGGCAAAAGAAAGGAATCCTTGCCCCTAGAGGCCTTCAGAGAGAATGCAAGGCCCTGCTTGAACATCTTTGATTTCAAACTTCCTGGCCTCTAGAACTAAAAGATTACAATTTCCTGTTGTTTAAGCCCAACCTAAGTTTGATTGGTAATTTGTAACAGTAAGCAGTATTTGAAAATTAAGCAAAAAAATGGCAAAAAAACAAATAAAAAGAAAACAAATAAATTGGCATATTAGTTTCCCCATTGCTAGTAAAGACAAATTATCCAACAACCTAATGGCTTAAAGCAACCACAAATTTTGTACCATCTGAGTTATTAAGGTAGTCTAAAATGGGGTCGCAAAGGGCTTTGTAAAATTTCTTTGGGCCTTGCCAGCCCCCTTTCTAAAGGCCCACCACAAGTTCCTTTGGGCTTGTAGGCCCCTTCCCTTTTACATCTAAAAGCCAGTGCAAAAGTGGGCATTTTTCTCCTCTCTGCCCTCCTGGCCGCTGGTCGCTTAAATTTCACTTCTCTTGACTTCTGACACTAGGTGATTTGCCTCTTCTAAGAGGACCCACCTGGATAACTGCCAGAATAATTCCCTTTTTTTCTCAACGAACCTTAACTTAGTTTACATCAACAGTTTTTATTTTTGCTAGCAAGCTTAACAGTTCAAAGGCAGGTTTCGCTTTCGTGGAAATTAGGTTTCATCGGAACAATTTGGGAAGGCTTGTAGCTCAGTGCCTACCACACCTGGGGAACAAAACAAAACTTCAATACGCCA